GGGGAGGGCACCGAGCCCCGGGGACGGCACGTCCCAGCAGCCCAGCCCCTCCAGGCAGGCGGGGAAGGGTGCGGGGGAGGCTGGACCGGGAGGCCTGTGAGAGGACGGGGAGTTATTTGTGGCAGGCGGCCTCACTTCCTTCCTTCCCCCCCCTTCCCTCTGCCTCAGGGACTGAACATGGACGCGGGAGCACGGCGTCCCGGCCAAAGGGTTATTTTAGTGTTGGCATCTCTCATCGCTCCATGGCCTTCCCCGCCCACGGGACAACACCGTCCAGGAAGTGCCTGGGAATAGCGCTGCCGTCCCGAGGAGGAGGAGGAGGAGGAGGAGGAAGGCCCAGCGAGCCACGTGGGGAACCTACCTCCGAGTAGGTGACACCAAAGGCCCCAGGATGCTGGGCCATCAGAAGATTGCACAGGCTCCCCGTCCTCCCCCGGGAGAAAATCCCCCCCTGAAAGAGCCGCGCTCCAAGGAAGCGGACGAATTCCCATGCAAAGAGCTTCCTCCGTAAATTAATTTCTCTCCCGGGGGAGGAAATGGTTTGAGCTTCTTTTAATAGGACTTTGATCTCCTGGGCTCCACACAGAACCGCTTCCCTCGCTGGGATCCTCCAGCTGTGTGGTAAAGGGCAGCAAGGATTTATAAGGCAAACACCTTTTTTTTACCTCTGCCAGCACGCGCGGGGTGAACAACGTTAATAATAAACTTTCGGGCCTGGTCTGCGTGCTGCCCGTGCGGCTGTTTTGGGGAGGGAAATAACTTCTTTTAATTCTCATTTACACTGATTCAGCATCTACGGCGGGCAGGCTTTTACTGGGGTAATTTAATAGCTTATTCCCCTGCATTTGGAGGAGTAAGTCACAGGATATCAATACCTCCTTATTCACCAAAAACCCCTTCCCTCGCTGGGATCCTCCAGCTGTGTGGTAAAGGGCAGCAAGGATTTATAAGGCAAACACCTTTTTTTTACCTCTGCCAGCACGCGCGGGGTGAACAACGTTAATAATAAACTTTCGGGCCTGGTCTGCGTGCTGCCCGTGCGGCTGTTTTGGGGAGGGAAATAACTTCTTTTAATTCTCATTTACACTGATTCAGCATCTACGGCGGGCAGGCTTTTACTGGGGTAATTTAATAGCTTATTCCCCTGCATTTGGAGGAGTAAGTCACAGGATATCAGTACCTCCTTATTCACCTAACAACCCTCCACGGGAGGCTGGAGTACTGTAATTATGCAGCTCTTGGTCAAGTAGGACAACTTTGCATAAGTCAGTACGTGTGGAGGTATTTCAGTTACTGTCTACATACACACACCTATTTACCCACCATAAAATCACGGTCACCAGTGAACCCGCAGGAAAAAACCCTTCAATTATCGACGAATCACACTGAAAACACCATCAACGTGCTCTTTGTGCCCAGGGATTCGGAAACCACGGACTCAAATCCTTGTCCGCTGATGTTTAATTGACAACCTGGTACTGACACCGTTTCCTCTTCCAGTTCTCTTTTGTTTCACGGTCAGGACGACTCGCCGCACGCTCTGCCGAGCAACAGGGAAACGTTTAGGACGTGCCAGGTACGTGTGCCCAGGGTGCATTTACTCCCATCTTTGCGCAGGTCCTTGTTAACGCGTGCTCGTCTGCTCTCTCCAGCTTTGGCGCGTACGTCTTTCCCTCAGCCTGTTTCATCCGAGAGGATGCACAGCTTTTCCTCGGTCTTAAAGAGAACAAAAACCCAAAAGTATCTCTAAAATTAGAAGCGTAAGCAGCCACCGCTGCAAAACCATGGGAAAGGAAATATCTAAGGAGCCTCTCAACTCCTGGTAACAAACATTAAGCACCGGTCTCCTGGCATGAGTGACAGTGGAGCACGCTCTTAAAAATAATAAATTTTGCTGTTGTCGTCAGAACAGGTTTCTAGATTTCCTCTTCTTCCTAAGCGTGAACAACTCAGATGAAAGGGGAATTCTTTTACTTCGGAATTTCCAAAACCTGTACAATGCAAATGATTGTTTACCTGCACCTCCCAAGTCACTCCACTGATGCAGCTTTTTGTCTCCGATAAATAATTAACGTTTTCCTTTACAAGAAAGAAAATTAACCTGAAAACGAGGACCAGAGGCAGAGGAGATGCGCAGGAGACGATGTCCCTCCGGCAGCCCCGGCCCTGGTACACGTGACGGTCCTGTCGCACCATATTGGTGCACGTTTGCTTGACTTACCCGAGCAGGCGGGAGAAGCGAGAGACACGCTCCCTACGTGCCGAGCTCCCGCGCCGCGGCAATCCTCGCTCCGCCTGCCGCGCCGGGTGTTGGCCCGAGAGACTTACACGTTTGGGGAGGATGCAAAACCTCATGCAAAGTCTGGGTGATTACAGCTGCGCTCCAGTTTGCCGAGCTCACGGGTACCTTCAGGAGCGGCAGTTAAGCAGGCGCCTGTTTGTGTTCGCTATGTATTCTGCGCGCTACAACCGTGGGGCATGTGGGACCTGTTCTTCCTGACGGAGGTACCCTTCCCCTGGGGACAGGGACCTGCCCCCGCTCCCAGCAGTCGCTACAATGAAATAGTAACACACAGCCAGGTGTAACTTAAGGCAGCAACTTCCCCGAAAGACAGTCTTTTTATTTACCTGCTATTTCTCTTCCTAGATGCTACCAACAGGGAACATGGATTCTGGCTTTCTACTTGCAATGAAACTTTGCAATTCGCTTTTAGCGTTGGGAGTTTGAAGGTGACCCACAAAGCCAGCGGGCTTTGGGGAACGGAGGCGCAGAGGGGTGCAGCCTCAACCCCTGCGTCCTCCCGGGGCAGGCGCGCAGACCCGCCGTGGCCTTCCCAGGGCCAAGGGTCAGACTCTTCCCGACTTCTGTGGGGTCACAGACCAGCAGGGCTGCCCGGTCCAAAACCAAGTCCCGCGACAAGCGTTCCTAGCCCTCCGCAACGATAAAACCGGGCACTAAATGCCGGAGGCGCTGCCAGAGCTCGTTCCCTTGCCAGGGGCTTCGCTCGTCCCCGCCGACACTCGCG